ACTGGCTCCATGGCTTTGCTATTCCCATCTTTAAAGAGGCTCGTGTCTTACAAAGTCCTGCAAGTGAGAAAGTGTATGGAGAAAATTACTAAAATAGGAATCATGGCGAGAGCTGCACCCAGGCAAAGCGCACCCCAATGATCTTAAGGCACTGTGTGCAGATATCAGGCAGTGGCGGGGGGCAAGGGGTCATTCTATCCAGAGCACTGGCTTCCTTGTCCAGTATCATGAGCACTTTAACTTCATGGTGGTAGGACCTGTCATCAAGATCGGTCTCGGAAACTGAATAAATACATCATACACCCGGGGAGTAGTTTTACCTTTGAAAGTGTCTTTATCTTTTTTAAAGTATATTACTATTTCCTTTCATTCTTCTCATTGATATCCCTTTACAGTCTCAAATTCTGGATCAGTATTATAAAAAGAAGTGTGAAATCCCACTGCTGGACTAAGAGCCACGTCTTCTTCCTCGGCAGCAGTGCTTTCTGCTGCTGCTCGACCTGCGAGAGATGCCCTCACCTGCGGAGGGGAGCACAGCTTTGCCGGGTGGGCTGACAATTCTGGGAAACTCGGCTGCTTCAGAGCCACGGCCACCACTTGCTCACTACGTTGAACCATAATCTAGTCACAGCCCTGAACCCACACAAAGTCCTGAGATGAGTGCTTAAAATAGTCCCTGCATGAATTTGGCTTCCCGTTTCCTAGGAGAAGGGAAATCAGGACGTACTAGGTCTATTCCAAGGACGCTCGAAGCCGTAACACGCCCCTGGCCACTGAGTTTAGTCCTGCTCATAGCCATCGTCCATCAGATTTTCCAAGGTTGTATATCTTTACAGAAAGATATTGTCCATCTGTCTCCTACAGATTGACTGGTGGGTTTGAACCGATGACCTTTTGGTTACCAACCCAACATGTAACTTACTACTCATGATACCACGGTACCTGGACCATAATATACTAATGAGAAAAACTGCTCTGAATGTGCAAATTCTCAGCTCGTAGATCCATTTCAAGGAATTGAAGAAAGGGAGCTCTGGTGGCCTAGTGGCAAGAAGTTGCACTGCAATTCGAGAGGTAAGTGGTTTGAATCCACCAGATGCTCTGCTGGAGAAGGAGTGACAATCTCCTCCTGTACCAGTCAGATCCGATTTGATGGTATACACACAAAAATAATAAAATTTTTTAAAAATTAAAAAAGACTGTCAAGTGATTGAAGCAGTGCCACTGAGCGGACCTCTACTCGTCACCCGGTGTGACAGAGCAGAACGGGCCTGTGTGTGGGGCTTCCTGGGCTGAGACCATCACACCTTACATGACAGAGCAGAACTGTCTCCAAGGGTTACCAAGTCTGTAATCTTTACCAGGCAGACTGCCTCATCTTTCTCCCTGGACACAGCTGGTCGGTTTGAACTGACAACCTTTCAGTCAGCAGTGAGCCACTTAACCATGACACCAGGATGGTTCTTTGTCTTCTACAACCAAACTCAAATCAGATTGACCTTTCACAGACTGGTGGCAATGCCAAGAACAATACAAACCCCATGCCCTCCTAATGCTTACTCTTAATTCACAGATGTTAAATTTCTTTAAAGTACACTTAAGGGTCCTCATTATATTCTGATCTAATATTAATATGAAAAGACAAAATATAATGTGGGGTTCTTTAAGAGAGGGTGTCATAACCCAGCTCCCAACAGAAGCGCAGAGAACAATAGGACGCTCCCATTCATCACGCTGGTCTTTGTCTTCACAGACAGACAGCAAAGCATCTGTACAAGTGCATCAGGTGCCACGGCACCAGATATGCCCACGTGGTCCAAGGCTTCAAAACAGTCATGTATCCTCATCTAACCCTCTTCTGTAAAGGACACAGAATGGGACATGTACACTTCATACTATGAGAGAGGCAAGAACCCAGCTGTCAAAAGGCCAACAGTGCCACCTGCTGAGATGAGACCCAATAAAAGTATGCAAGTGTTTGCCCTTGAGAAACACAACCTTCTCTCATTCTCTGCATGACTTTGGGAAGAGGGGGCGGGGAACCACTTTTTGTTAATATTTTTAAGATCATACTTTCCTTTAAAGCTGGTCTTAGCCTGAGGCCCCTGCTGGTGTCCTTGTGAGCACCTAACTGTTTCCAACCCACGTTTTGTTCCATTCACTCTTCTAAGTGTCTATTTAACTCTTCCTGAGTCATCAATTGATATTCTCTTTATTCAGTTCATGATTATGCTTGTTGTTAGTTGTTATTAAGTGCCCTTGAAACAACATTCTGAAACCTTGCCCTGTCCTGTCCCATTCTCACGATCTCTGCCATGTTCAAGTCCATTGTTATAGACTTGAACATCCACTGGGTAAATCCTTTTAAATGATGGTCTGGTCTTTCTCTCTTTCACTAGTCCTCTACTTTTCCAAGAATGACATCTCTTTTTCCCAAGGACTGGTGTTTCCTGACAACATTCCCAAAGTATATGAGAGGATGGCTCACCTTCTTAGACTTCAAAGAGAATAGGGTTGCTATGAGTCATCTAGGCCTTGATGGCACTTACTAACAATAACAACATAGAGCTCTGTTGGCCTAGTGGGTAGAAAGTTATGTTACCAAGCCAAAGGTAGGTGATTTTAATCTGCAGTCCTCAGGCCTAGTTTTAATGTTTTTGGTCAAACATTCTTCTAAGTGGTATAGCACTCATCTGTCCATTTGCTGTACAGAGGTAACTCATGGTTGCTGTGATGCTGAACACTGTGACCCTGATGTGTCAAATGCATTAATGGTTATCCATGGTGGACAGTGTTTGGTGGCGCTCCCTGATTAAAACATGCTTGGAAGCAGGAGTGGTGTCCACTTCCAAAATAGCTTGCCTCCAGAAACTCTATGAACTTGGAGAAACGAACTTGGATGAAAATTATACAAATGTTCAGGTCTTTCATTCAAAGGGTCACTGTGAGTCATCCACAACTCAACAACACTTAACAATAAAACAACTTCCTCCAGGACAGACTGGTTTGTTCTCTTGGCAGTCATGGTATGGTCACCATTCCTCACCAATGCCACAACTCAATGGTATCAACTCTTAGGTCTTCCGTTTTCATTGTCCAACTTTCAGATGTGTGGGAAGCAAGCAAAAATACCATGGTTTCGATTATGAACACTGTCAGGTGCTATCGAGTACAACTCATACTGACCCTGTGAACAAGTGATCCGAAACCCTGTCCTACCCTGGGCCATCCTCACAATCTCTGACACACTTGAGCCCATTGCTGCATTTACTGTGTCAGTCCGCCTAGTTGAGGATCTTTCTCTCCTTTGCCTCCTCTCCATCTCCCTAAACATGATGTCACTCTCCAAAGAATAACCTCTCCTAGTAACATGCCCAAACTATGTGAGATGAAGCTTCATCATGTTTGCCTAAAAGAAGCACTCTGGCTGCACCTTCTCCAAGACATATCTATTTGGTTTTTGGCAGTCCATGGGATTTTTAGCACTCTTCTCCAACAACACAGTTCAAAGGCATCCATTATCTTCTGTCATCCTTACTCATTGTCCAGCTCTCAGAGCATAGACAATGATTGAAAAGACCATAACCTGAATCAGGCACACCTTAGTCCTCAAACTGACAGCATTGCTCTTCAATAATTTAAAGAGGTCCCTGACTATATACTTTCCAAGTGCAAGTCTTCCTTCTTTGTTGTCCAACTTCCAAATTCATGGGAAACAAGTGACAATACCAAGTCTCCAATTATTAACATAGATGGTCCAATTGGTTAAGTGCTTGATTACCTACTGAAAAGTGATGGTTAGAATCCACTTATGAAGAAAGGACTGATGATCTACTTACACAAATTGACACTGAAAACTCAATGGAGCCCAGTTCTACCTGACATACACTAGGTCACCTCAAGTCGTAATCAATTCAGCAGCTACTACTTTAGATTATTCCGTTTTATGTTATCCATCTATAAAATATATTTGTTATTAAGTGAAGTACATTTTATTTTCCTGATTGGATTTTTTTAAAAAAAAATATAGTTAAAATACATACTATTTTTTTATTATCACTATTTTTATTTATCGCTATTTTTTGGCGGGGTGGTCCAAAACTCTGTCATTCCTAGCTGCAAAGTAGGTAATAAAACATATAGTTCAAATTCTGAACACACGTGTCCCCTTGAAAACGCATCATGACTGTTGTTGGCTCTGCCTCACAGCACAACAGAGCGATACCTCCTGAGTAAGGATGTGCCATTCACAGTGTTTTCTCACAGAAAATTTAGAATGGTGCAGAAATTAAAACAACTCACAGTCTGCAAAGTGGTGGCCAAGTGGCAAGAAGCTGCACTGCCATCCCGAAGGCACATGGTTCGAGGCCACCAGCTGCTCTGTGGGAGAAGGATGGGCAATCTCCTCCCATGTGATAAACTACCTCTGAAAAGCTGCCAGAGGGTCAGCTATGGGTTGGTTCCGACTCAACGGTACACAAAGTGGCATCTAGGAAACACTGTTAGGGAACATTAAGGCATAATCCCAGAGGCAGAGAGTTGTTCTCCTGACTCAAAGACTCATGGTTCGAAACCAGCTGCTACCTCTCATGAAAAATATGGGAAATCTCCTCTCATGCTACTTACAGCCTCTGAAAACCTACTGAAGGGTCAGCTATGAGTCTATCCCAATTCAATGGCACCTTTATAGTTAAATCACTCTTGTTTCATTTATCAGCATCACGATGCTATTCATCTCCTTGTAAAGTAACCCAAAATTGGCAAACCAAGTGGCCTCTGCCAAAATGTGATGATGCTATTCCCAAGCCTCCCCATCAAATAAAAGAAACCATACGACTACATCCGTTTTAATAGGCATGAAGCTAAGAGCACAGTGTGGAAATAAACAAATTTTTAAAAGAAAAATATATTCTGTATCAAAACAGCTTGCTTGCTGTCTCCAAAGTTCAAGTTCTCGTTCTCCAGAGCTGTGAGCTTCTTCGTCAGCTGCCGTCCTTTGGTCAACGCCATATCCTGCAGGTGTTATCCTTACTGCCTAGCGAAACAAAGTTTGCAGAGTTATTTCTTCTATTGTATTCGCTTCGCTCACCCTTTCAGGAGTCGACTCATTCTGGGTCACTGCCCAGAGCGTTGGTGGTTCAAGTTATCACCAGATAACTGTAAGGCTGGTGGTTTGAGTCCACCAGCTGCTCCTTGGGAGAAACGTGTGTGGTGGTCTGCTCACCCTGAGATGCACTGTCCCTGACACCACCTGGGGTAGCCCTGACCTGTCCTACAGGGTCTCTGGGAGTCAGAATGAGTTCCCAGAGTCCTTGGGCCATGTCAATCATCAGCGTGTGAAATGGGTCAGAGCCCCAGCTCCCGCCGCAGATCCCTTGAGCGAGCCAAGTCCTTTAGAAGACACGCTCGTGTGTCTTGCATGATTGTAGCTGGTGTTAAATTCACCAGGTCCCCATGACAGTCACAAGAGCAGGTCTCAGCATCTTGGACTGGAGAACACAGCTGTCTCAGCCATGCCCTTCTGTCTGGTCCTTCTTGGAATCTGAACAGCTCCAAGTGTGTAGGATTCACGGGTCACAAAGCAGCATCTTCCACTTAGAGCCCTACAAAACGTCACTGGTTTCTTCTCATGCCGGTGTTTCGTGTGCCGCGAAGTCGGAACTGACTCACAGCGACCCTCCAGCAGGTTTTTAGAGGCAGTAAATCACACGGGAGGAGACTGCCCATCTTTCTTCTGTGGAGCAGCTGGTGGATTTGAACCACATACCTTTGGATTGGCAGTGCAATTCTTTACCACCAAGCCACTGGAGCTCCCTAGTCAACTTAAGAACACCAAGGTCCTCACTCTCTCCCTCATTACCTTTGAGTCAGAACCAACTCAAATGATACTCGAGCGGGTTTCTGAGGCTGGATGGAGGGGGCAATCGCTCCTGCTTCACTCGAGGAGCCACTGGTGGATTCGAACAGCCGGTGAGGTGGTGCCTTTGGTGAGCAGCACCTCCCTCCCTGTGGCCCATGCCACCCAAGCTTCCTGGGAGCCCAAACTGGCAACGGCCAGGCGGAGCTGGCAGTGTCTGCCCCTCATACCTGTGATGACGATGTCGCCTTGGTAGTTGAAGGCGCATGAGAAGATCTCATCCGTGTGGCCCTCGAGAACCTGGAGGCACTGGCCGGTGAACGTGTCCCAGATCCGGGCTGTTTTGTCGGCACTGCCAGTTAGAAGGCGGTTTCCCTGGGGGCTGAAAGACACCTGCAGAGGAGAAAGAGGGTAGTGGTGTGGTTGTACGCTGCGGAGTCAGGGCCGACACATAGCTGACCCTCCGATCACATAGGAGGAGACGGCTCGTCCTTCTCCTACAGAGCTGCTGGGGGATCCAAACTATGTACCATCAGGTTGGCAGCACCGTTCCTTATCCACGAGGCCACCAGAGCTCCCAGAGCAAGAAGAAAGAACTAAGAACATAACCAGCACTAAATTCTACTACTAATGGAGCAGAGCTTAGCCCATCAGTCCCAGCCAAGGCTCAGATTGGCATGATAACTTCCAGTCGATGATTATTATTATTATTATTATTATTATTATTGAAAGTTTACAGAGACTTTGGATTTCCATTCATTCACTGTTGCACTTTTCTCCCTGCCCAACCTCCCCAGTTCGCTCTTCTCTTTGAAAAGTAAAAGAAAACTACTTTCATTGTTATACAATCCCTCCCCCCAGGTCCACCCCACTATGCAGCCTTCATTCTGGACTCCTGTTAAACAGTTCTCTCCCTCATCTATTTCAATGCAGTATACATAATTTATCCCATCTTCCTCAGTCTCCCTCAACCCCGATGTCAGTCTGTTTTACAACAGCAGCACTATACAATATTTGTCCTTTTGTGACTGAGATATTTTATTCAGCATAATGTCCTCCAGGGTCTCCCACTTTGTATAATATTTCATGAGTTCCTTGTTTTTTAATGTAGCATAGTATTCCATCGTGTGAATATACCACAGCTTCTCTATGCATTCATTTGTTGATGGGCACTTAGGTTGTTTCCAACTCTTTGCTATTGTGAACAAAGTCACGATAAACATGGGTGTGCATATATCTGATTGGGTGGTAGTTATGGTTTCTTTGGAGTATTATTCCCGGTAGTGGAATTGCTGGATCAAATGGTATCTCTATTTGCAACTTTTTGAGAAAGCGTCATACAGTCTTCCACAGTGGTTGCACCATTTTACTCTCCCACCAAGAGTGAATAAGGGTTCCAATTTCTCCACATCCTCGCCAGCATTTGTTGCTTGCTGTTCTGTTAAATTTTCCTATTTTTAATCAGCACAAAGGGGACGATAGTATTAACACCTGCCACCTTGCTGGCATGGCAAGGATTCTGACATAGAATGATGGTTCCTTTGAGAAAGAAAAAGCACTGCAGAGACCAATGAAATGAAAGTCTAGGCACAAATGCTTACTGGCCTGCCCTTCTGCCATGCTAGAGACCAAACCACTCATCATTTCATGTGCTGTGCACCCTCCCCCCACCCCACCTCCTTTCCAATGCACTTGTCCTGGCAAAGCAAGAAGCAATGCCCTGGTGAGGATGACGACACAAGTCAGGCTTCTTTGAACCTCAACATTTTGGGGGATTTGTTGGAGGTATGATGGCACTGCTGTTAATCAGGCAACTGCAAGCCAAAAGGTTCACAGTTCAAACCCAGCCAGTGCCTCTGTGGGTGAAAAACCCAGTGATCTGTTCCTACAAAGAGGAAAATAGGAATAGTAAAACATTTGATTGTGCTATGTAAAACCTATACTTGGACCAGGAGGCAGTCATCAGAACAGAGCAAGGAAACACTGCATGGTTCAAAATCGAGAAGGGTGTGTGCCAGGGATGTGTCCTATCTCCATACCTTTACAACCTATATACGGAGCAGACCATCAGGGAGACTGGGCTCTATGAGGACAAAAATAACACAGAGACTTCTAAAAGTCAGGCTTAGTATCTCAGAATAATTACACATGTGCTTTAATTACTAACGATTCCCAGAAAATATTCCCAGTTGACCCCATTTAAAGAATGCACGCACTTCTCACTGATGGCCATAATTGGACTCCAAACACTAGGTCACTAGGAGAAATGGCTGGCATGACCACTTTAAATCACAAAATAAAGGATGATCTCACCACTGGGAACTGCCAAATGCCATCATCACATAAGTGCCAAACACTGAGAGTCAAGGTCCAGCCAAGCTGACACACGAGCTTAGCTATCACAGCCGTGTTAACCAGCACACCTCAGCATTCGTTACTGGCAGATGGACACTGTTAGTGTGAAAAATAATCGATTTTCCACTCTTGTCGTGAATGTGGAATATCAGATAATTAGTTGGAGAGGAGTAGGTGCACTCAATACTTACTGCATAGCCTGATTTTCTGTAATAAGAATGTCTGATTAGTAAAGGCAGAAAAAGTGCTTTATAAGCTCCTTAAGTTGCTTTAGTAGCCATTTTCAGTTAAATATTTTTTCAGATGCCTGAATACAGCTTGATGCTTTTTAAAAGGTCTTAAAAATCACTTATCATAATGAGTCCGAGAGCACACACAGTAACTGAGCAGAGCTGAGCCCGTCCGCTCCAGCCAAGACTCAGTTAGACAGAAGGTCTACACACACACACTCACGCACGCACTCCATTCCTATCAAGTCCATGCCAGCTCCCAGTGGCCTTGTAAGACAGGAGAATGTCACTGCATGATTCCCAAGGCTGTTTATGATCTTTAGAAAAGCAGACTGCATACCTTCCTACTGGGAGGTGACAGGTGGTTTCGAACCACTGACCTTCTGGTTAGCAGTCAAGAGGTGAGGCACTGTGTCATCAGGCCTCCTAAATGACAGGTCTATTTAGGTCTACGTTAAGTTATACAACTTGCTCAATCTCATCCACTAGTAGTCAAGTCCATTTCATCTATCCACTAGTAATAGGTCTAGTATACTAAGAATATTGGATTATTTTTTTAAGTCAATGGCTTCAAATGAGACAGTAACTCACCTTTGAAATTTCCCCCTCATGGCCTTCCAGTTTGGTAATGCATTTTCTCGTGGCTGCACAGAAAACTCTTGCTGTTCCTTTTGAAGAAAAGTGGGGGTATGTACACATTCATCTGAAATACAGAACTCGGAAGCAAAGAACTTAAATTCTCTAAATATCTGCCCCACTGACGTGCCAAGTGTGTCTTCGCGCCTGAGCTGAGAGGTGGCACTACCGTGAGCAGGTCCCACTGTAAGTCAGGAGGGCGAAAAGGGCTGGCAGCCAGCACAGCCTCTCTAGCCCTGAGCTCACCCTAGCAGACAGTGGGTTCCCGGGTAGAAATAAGATCTCGAAACACGTTTCAAAGGGATAGAAACAGCTCAGCTAACATTGCATGTGAGGGAGGAGTCCACGGGTTTGTGAGATATGTGAGCTCTTCCAAGAAAGACCAGCAGGCTCTACTGCTCAGTGGACAAACAGGAGTCGCTGTGCTGTGGTTTGGCTGCCCTGAGAGGGGGGACTCGTGTTGGCCCCATGCCCAAGAGGGCTGGACAGCTGTGATCTGCAGGATTTACAGTGACTCATTTTACAAAGTTGATTGTCATATTCTCCAAGCCAGCTCAGTCTGGAAGCTTTGCTGAAGCTTATTCCGCATCCAACACACAAAAGCTCTCACTGGTGACTGCTCATGAAATGTACTGGCTGGACCTGAACCCGAGTCACTTGCACAGAAGCCAATAATCCCACCACTGAACCACCAGTGTCTTCTTTTTTTAGGGGGAGAGGAGGATATTTTAAGCTTTTTTTATTATTATAATTGTGTGTGTGTGTGTGTGTGTGTACACCGTCAAATCAGATCTGACTGGTACAGGAGGAGATTATCCCTCCTTCTCCAGCAGAGCATCTGGTGGATTCGAACAGCACGCCTCTGGGATTGCAGTGCAGCTTCTTGCCACTAGGCCACCAGAGCTCCCTATCACCACTGTCTTCTAAGAAATTCTTTTGCACAGAAGAGCTGATAGAATGTTTTGTTCTTAGCCGTAGCCCCAGTGTCTCGGAGAATGCCAGTCCTATCTCAACCCAACTCACTGCCATTGAGTTAATGTGGACTCATGGGGACTGGATATCTGAAGCTGTAAATCTTGAAGGAAGGGGACAGCTCATTTTTCTCCATTTGTGAGCTCACGTGAGCTCGCGCCTGCTCTCACTCTCTCCTCCCCCTCAATTTCTCTCTCCCCTCTCTTTCTCTCTCTCTCTCTCCCCCTCTCTCTCTTTCTCCCTCTCTCATTGCCACAGACACTAGACTGACTCATACCTGACCCTCCATTGGGTTTCTGAGGCTGTAAATCACATGGGTGGAGATGCCCCTTTTCCTCCCTCAGAACCACTCATGGATCTAAACCACCAGAGAGAGACTCAGCCTTTGGGTTCGTGCAATTCCCCATGGGTGATGTCACCACAGCGCCCACCAGAGGCATGTGTCAACAATAAATATAGGCCATTGGCACAGGACAGAGCAGAGTTTAGGGCTGTTGTACATAGCGTCACTATGAGTCGCAAGTGACTCGACGGCACATAACAACAACATAGCTGAATGGATAGATATACACACAGAGCAAAAGAAAAACAGGACCAGCATAATTTCTGCCAAAGAGATGTTACTAAGGTTACTTAGCCAAGGTGCTTTCTTAAGACAAATTATAAAATGACAGAAAGGTAAAATATTTAATTTAGCAGGAAGCAAACTATCCTGAAAAAAACTGGTACTTACCTTTATTAAAATGCAAACTTTAGAAGAAAATAAGGGTAAGAATGAATGTGGTAGAAACATCTATAAAGTGTGCTGTTTCGCTGGGCATTTTGAGAGCTTAAGGAAAACAATGAGCACGTGGTTGTGTAATGCAGAGTTGGAGCTGACCAGCTGACCCTCCAGCCGGTCTTCAGAGGCCGTTAATCACACACGACGAGATCGCCCAGCCTTCTCTGGTGAAGCAGCTGGTGGCCTCAGGTGTGCCTTCTGGATTGCAGCGCACCTTCTTGCCACTAGGCCACCCAGCCTGCCTCACTGTGCACTGAGTGTTTAATAACATAAAGGGGAATCAACTACACAAATGCTCTATAGGTTTTAGAGAAACACTGTAAAATTTCAGGGGAAAAAAGAAAAACAGGGCAATATGGTTTGAAATTATGAGAAAAGAGAGAGGTTGAGTAAAACCCAACCCACTGCCACAGAGTCAGAGTTCATGCCCAGCAACCCTGAGGCAAAGCCCCCCACCCCGATCTCCCAGGGAGGAGGCCCCTGAGGTGCCGTCCTTAGGAACTTGTGCTCCTAACCCAAACGTGGCTGCCTCGGGGGCCCAACCTCCTCCTGTGTGATTTACAGCCTCAAAAACCTGCTGGAAGGTCAGCTAGAAGGTGGTTCCAACTCTGGCAATGAGAAGTGGGGGCTTTCTAAAAACATCTATCAGGACAGACTGCCTCATCTCAGCTCTGGAGAAGCTGGTGGGTGCGAACTGCTGACCTTTTGACTGGGAGCCAAATACCTTAACCACAGCATGACCAGAACTCTTCCATAGGAACAAATACATCACACACACACACACATATTAAAAAAAGTTTTTAAACCACTTCAAGCTATACAATTCCAATGACAAAGAAAAAGAAGTATTGAAGGAAGACTCATCTGTGTTCTGCAGACGACACAACCCTGCTTACTGAAAGTGAGGAGGACCTGAAATGCTTTCTGCAGAAGATCAAACACTAGTTTTCAATACGGGTTCCATCTCAAAGTCAGGAAGACAAAGGTCCTACCACTGGGCCAATAGGCATCATCATGATAGATGGAGAAAGGCTTAAGACTGTTAATGATTTCGTTTTACTTGAATCCACAATCTGCTCTCTTGGTACTAGCAGTCAGGAGATCAGAAGACATATTGCCTTGAACAAGTGCACTCTCCGGGACCTCTCCAAAATACTCTAAGAGCGATGCTCCAGGAGCAATGATGCCAGTTTGAATACTGAGATGTGCCTTATTTGGGCCATGATCTTTTCAATGACTTGTTACACTTCCAGAGCTGGATAATAAATAAGGATGAGAGAAGGAGAATTGATGCCTTTGAATTGTGCTGCTGGAGAAAAGTGCAGAGTATCCCATGGACTGCCGAAAGAACAAGGGTATGTCTTGGAGAAGCTGCGACCAGAAAGCTCCTTGTAAGCATATTTTGGACATGTTGCTGGGAGAGGCTATTCCTTGGAAAGGGACATTATGCTGGTGAAAGTGGAGGGTCAGCTAAAGAGAGGAAGACCCCCAATGAGGTGGACTGGCACAGTGACTGCATCTGTGGGCTCAGGTGCGTCAGAGATGATGAGGATGGCACAGGAGTCAGGACCTGGCAGCATCTGCTGTCCTTAGGGTCACTATGAGTAGTATTTGACTCAACAACACCTAACAACAATACTTGGTGAATGAGATCATAGTTTTTAAAAACAGAATTAGGTACAAAAAGATCAAAACTAAATTTAAAACAAACAAACAAAAACCCAATGAAAACCAAAATACTTACGGAGCAGAGAATGGCCAGAGAAGTTATAAAATACGCAAAACAACCTCAAACCCTTATGCATTTCTATGTTTGTTTTCCCCTAATAAGAATAAAACCACTACTCGGGTGAACTAGCAGATGAGAGAGAAAAATAAATTCATCACGGCCTCAGAGGACACGATGCACACTTTATGTAGCATGGTGTACGGCCACTGGGGGGAGGAAGTAGGCACCGGCCAGCACCAACACTGGTGACCAAGAAAATCGTTCCTGATAGAGCGACACACACACTATCGAGTGGATACAGACACTGCACCTCAGGTGGTTACCATGGAGACGATACATGGGCACGTTATACATGGCTCCACACAAGTGACCTACATACACATAATGCAGTTTCCTTCGTGGTTCCCAGGAGACAGAGTGCACATAAGTTGCCATGGAGGAAGTGATAAACACGTGATGCAGCATCTAAATGACCTTCAGGGTGATAGTGGCTTGAGGGGGACTTAGCGGAACATTGGAAGTGGTTTCAAGATGAGGACACAAACATAATAGAGCACAGTATGGAGTCTTCAGCTGGGAGATGCAGGTGTACTTGGCATCACGTGTTGTCATCAAGGAATTGTACGGGCATCGGATAACACACTGTATTGTGATGGAAATGACCGTGGTACAGCTTAGTGTCCTCCTTCATACCCTGAAATCTGATGGTGACTATAGAATCATACAAGGTTATCCAAGAGAGAGTGGAAACAATAGTATCGTTCATGGTAGTAAAGGTGATACAAAGCTCACACACGGACAGCAAGGAGAGCACAGAAACATGACCAAGCACCATTCAGGTTCTTCATGTAGATAACATGTAACATCGCAAATGGTTACAAAGGAGCTGAAACCTGAATGGCTTAGTATCATATGTGTATTACCTAGAATGACTAAACAATATCATGGTGAGACAGAGAGAAGTTTCACGTTGTCAAGGATCGAGTTTTACTTGGATCCACAACCAACAGCCAGGGAAGCAGTTAAGTCAAGAATGAAGTCATGTATGGCACTGGGAAAGGTGGTTGCATCAGATTGCTTTAAAGCGCTAAAGAACAGGGCTGTCACTCTGAGAACAAAGGTGCACCTGGCCCGAGCCAGGGGGGTTCCAGTCACCTCGTCTGCATGTGCAAGCTGGATAGGGCAGAGTCCAGAACGATGGTGCACAGGGTTGCTATGAGTCACAGCTGCCTTGCTGGCACATAACAACAGTAAGTATTGACAATGTAGCTTCAACAGCAGGTTCAGCAACAGGTGTGAAGTGGCACAGGATCAGACAGTGTTTTGTTCTGTAGTAAATAGGATTGTTATGAATTAAAAATGACCCAAAGGCATTATGGTATTAGCCTAAAAGTTAGGGGTTTTACCCATTAGTTAGCCCCCTCTGGTCTCCAGCTACCTTAACTGCAAACACATGGTCTTGCCAGCCAGCATGGGCTCACAAATCAGCATCAGCTGTGGGATTAGGATCAGAGCAATTGTGTTTCCCACACTGAGCAGCAAAGACTTGAGGCAAGCAAGACTTGTAGCAACAAGTCCCTGGTTCGAGTGGGACCCTGATGGTGGCATCACCGTGTAGAAACTGTGGCAAGGTGTGACCTGAGGCTTTCTGCATTTGTACTGGCCACAGTTAAAGGGCTGGCTGTTCTTGCCAGATGTTTAAAGGAGAAGCTGACTGACTTATAACTGCTCTGAGCTAACCTTGCTGGATGATTTGGTTGTAACTACCCTGAGGTAAGCCTTGCTGAATGATTTGGCTTTGACTGCTGAACTGAAACCGGAGCCTGGACTTGTTGAGGAACTGTGCTTTGGAACTTCTGGGCTAAAGCCTGGACTTGTATTGTAAAATATTCTTTGCCTCCCTCACTCACTTCACTAATAAACCCCATTGCTGGCACCATAACTGTGAGTCTATAAGTTAGAAACAAATAAATGAACCTCTTGCTGTTGGTGTAGCTCCAGAAGCACCATGGGACTGGGCTGTGGACTCTTAATGTGCTTTCTGCTCTGGGACAGTGAAGGATTGTGCTGTTCTTACTCTCTCTGGCCCTTTGAGAAAGACGCTCATGACCTTGTACCTCCATGTTCCATTTCCTCCTCTTTAGACAGGCATGTAGCAACACAGTGCAGCACCATAAGTTATTGCAAAGGGACCAGCAAAGTCATAGCAGGACTGAAAACACGGAAATCAGGGGTACGATGTAGACACGAGGTATCGTCATATACAGTCACCAGAGGGATGATGCAGACTTGGTGGGGCATCATATGTTGACATAGTGTGACATCTTCAGCCAGAAGAGATGTCACATACATAGAGACATAGTTAGCATCCTATCTGGTGATCAAGGTGATGTCTCAGAGAGCAGCATGGCTTACAGTGGACTTACAACATCATCACACAAGCTGGTTGAGGAGATTAGCATGTCAAGCGGATCATCCTCATTCGCTGTTTTCAAGATAATGCAGACATAGTAGTGCACCCACCATGGTTATCAAGGACCTGACAGAGACGTGGTGGGGGGTCACACAGGAGGGTCAAGGAGATGGCACAGAAACTGTGTAGCACAAGGCATGCTTTTCAGAATTACAATATAATTAGCGTAGCATCATAAGTAAACAGTATCTACAAAAGGAATCCTCATATTTGGTTATCAAAGAGAACACGAACATAATGGAGCCCTCACACATGGTTGTCACGTTGTCTAGTATGACAGAGGGTTCGCCGGGATATGAGATACATACCTAGTAGACCAACGTAGATGGCTGACAATGAGAGGACGTAGACACAGCAGAATGATACATGCAGTTTTCATGGAGGTCAATAGTACATGCATATGTGTCAGCAAAATGACTCATAAAACAGCATCAGGCATGGTTATCCAGGACAGGATGCAGACATAGTGGAACACTGCATGTGATCGTTAAGGAGACGATCCAGGGATAATGTAACATCAAACATGGTTTTTAAGAAGATGGCACAGAGGGAGCTCTGGTGGCCTAGTGGCAAGACGCTGCACTGCAATCCCAGAGGTACGCGGTTCAAATCCACTAGATGCTCTGCTGGAGAAGGAGGGGGCAATCTCCTCCTGTACCAGTCAGATCTGATTTGACAGTACACGTAAAAATAATACAATTAAAAAAAAAAGAAGAAGAAGACAGCACAGGTCTATGCACCTGTGATCATACGGTCAATCAGGTGATGATGCAGGTGCACTGGAGTGTACAGCAAGGTCTTCCAGAAAATGATGAACACAAAATGTTGTATCTACATAACGACCAGAAGAGAACTCCAAGCACAGTTTTGAAGGAATTCGTGCAGACATACTACTGCATTCTATGGTTATGGGGACTTGATGCCACCACCAATGGCATCAAGATATAACAAGGTCACAGTATGACAACATGCATGAGCATCTTGGAAAGGAAGCCGAGAGAGTCACCATCATAGCACAGGATCATATATATTTTCAGGCAGGTCATACATAGCTCTGTAACTTAAATGCACGAAGCAATTACTTACCGTCAGCCGAAGCAGTTGCAATAAACTTCCCAGTGAAATCAAAACAGCTATCGAGAATTTCATCCTCATGGCCGGTCAGGGTGGCCAAACGTTTCCCATTTGTCGCATCCCACAGCTGCAATTGCAAAGTTAAAAGACTATGATTTCCTATCTGAAGATCAAATATGACCCTAGGTAGTCTTCAGGCTATGCCTATCACCAGTTAGCTAACTTTGCAATACAGTAAGGTAATCATATTTGACTCATTTATTGAAAGTTTCATTTCAAAAGGTACCTAAAAAAAAAAAAAGCCTTTCTGATTATTTATAAGCTTCGATTAGGAGTCTCAACACAATGACTCCAAACTGTCAAGTTTCTCTACTCCACCTAATTTTTGTTTGTTTTGTTTTACCTTAATTCATGGCCAGAGCCCACAGGCAGCCATCAAGTAAAACCACCACTAGAGACACAGAAAATGAAGTCAGATGTCTGAATAAAAACCAAGCCCAATCCCTGTTAATGGAGAAGATTCCAACTCAAAATGTCTCTATGGGACACAAATGCTGTAAAGATTTCCAAAGCTGTAAGCCCAGCACTCACACTGAGACACCCTTCTTCCCCAGAGCGGCTGGTGGGTTCCAACAGCTTCCACCACTGCACCACGGGTGCTCTTGGAAACTGGAAAGGATCTGTGCAAATCTACCTCTATACTAACTCTCACAGCGCATGCCTCACCGATCTGAGTGAATGTGTCTTCTTTTTGTGGAAGGAGATCATGCTAAAATTTTTTCTAAAAGTGCAGAATAAGGCTGTAAAACATGTGATTTGCTGTTGTTGTTGTGTACTGTAGTCGGAACTGCCCCAGAGCTGCCCCAGAGGCGGGTTTTCAGAGGGAGAGATTCCCCATCCTTTCCTGCAAAACATGAGAGAGTCAATCATTTCAGAGCATAAACTCTATTAGCCATTTTTGTAAGAGTACAGAAACTCCATAGCAAAAAGTCCCTGTTTTGAGATTCCTGATCTGGGTTTAGAAATGAATAGAAAGACATTTAAAAAAAAAAAAGTGATGGGCAAGGGGGCAGGGTAATCACAGCATCACACAATTTGATGGGTGGAGGGAGGGGTGGGTTAAGAAATGGAAAAGATTCAGTGTGAAAAAACAATGTAGATGTAAGCTGCAAGTAAACCAGTATAAAATTAAAATTTTGTATTTAAAAAAATCCTTTGAAATAAACCTTTAAATAAGTGAGTCAATTATGATTACCTTCTTGTTGTTCCTGTTATGTACCATCAAGTCACCTGCGACTCATAATGACCCTATGTACATTAGCTCTTAAATCTGCCCTGCCCTGAGCCAATCTCATCATCTCCAACAGATCTAATCCCATTTCTCCAGTCACTGTGTCAATCCATCTCATCCAGGGTCCTCCTCTCCTGCACTGTCCCTCCACCCTTCAAAGCATCATGTTCCTCTCCAGGGACTGGTCCCTGCTGGCCATGTGCCCAAAGTACGTGAGAAAGAGCTCCTTCTAACTTTGGAAATCAGAAACTTGAAATAAAAACAATGACTGGCTATTATTGCTAAATTCACCTGTTAATTTTATAGCCCCTTAGGAGTTTGCTACTATTAAGAAGGGTGTTCTGACACACTGAAAAGGACAGAAAGAAGAACGAGAAAGTACAGTGATTCACTGAGCCTACCATGCAGGTCCTGTCCATTGAGCCCGTCAGGATCAGGGAGCAATCCCAGTTGAACAGCGCACTACTAATCTCACCACAATGGCCAATTAAGGTGTGCAGTTTCCTGTGAAAGAGGGGAAAAACAAACCGTGAAAACTGGTGAACGACAGCTAACTTCAGCGTCCAAGCATCCACACATAGTCCTAGTGATGGGACCGAACATGAGTTCTGCTTTTACAAAATAATATCTTGATGGCAAAGGGGTAAGAAACTGAGCTGCAATCCAGAAGGCTTGTGGTTCGAATCCACAGTTCTCTGCAGGAGAAAGGTGGGCGATCTCCTGTGTGGATAACGGCCTCTGAAAACCCGCGGGAAGGTTAGCTCTAGCTTGGTGTGTTTGTCTCGATGGTACACAGAGTAACAGCATTATGGCCCAAGAAGAATCAACTCCCTCCTAATTTAATTTCCACAAAAATATATTTAAAAGCTCACACATCCAAGGGTAATCAACTGTATGACCTAATACTTCAGAATGAAATGGGTAAAAACTAGCAAAGACAGGATTACATTTGGGGAACATCCAGATGAGTGAATTCCTGGTTGTCCGAGAACCACCCTTCAAATATCTAGAAGATTCTGGCATCAATCTCTATCGCACATGCTTGGATCATCACCCCACAGGAATCAGCTCCACCATCTAACTGCAGACAAGCCTAAGAGCGGTGTTTCAGAACACAAATGGGCTAATTTAGTTAACTTCTTAACAACCAGATCTGGAAATCATTAGGAAGGAAATGGAAGCGCTGGGGCTAAATTAAGTTTGGGAAATTAGCAATGCGTTTTCTTTGTTCATGATATCCATGCCTGCCGCAATGACAGGACGCTAGGATTTTATTAGATCACACATGGAACAAAACAGAAAGCTATGTAACCAGCTGTTTCGAATAAGCTCCTTCAGAATTGTCTGTCAAATATTATACACAAATATATATATACACACACAAATACATATACACACACACAAATATATACACACAAAAATATATATACATGCACACATATATACATACACAAATATATATACACACACAAATATATACAAACACAAATGTATATACACACAAATATATAGACACATATATATATACACACAAACACAAATGTATATACACACAAATATATAGAGACACATATATATACAAATATATATACACACACACATTTATACACACACAAATATGTAAATATACACGCAAATACATACATAATACACAAATATATATACACATAAATATACATGTACAAAAATATATGTACACAAATATATATGTTGTTTTGTTGTTATGTGCCATCTAGTCACTTGCGACACATAGCGACCCTATGTACAAGAGCCCTAAATGCCGTTCTATCCTGTGCCAGCCTCGCCATCTCAAACACACTCATTCCCACCACCCCAATCACAGAATCGATCCATCTCATTAAGGGTCTTCCACACAAACATACACACACACA